TGTGAGCACTCTTCCTGCTGGCGAGGGACTTCAGCACCCAGAGCAAATCAGAAGCACTGACAGAACTGTTGTAGCTGGCTCGTTGTCTGTGGGCTGGATTTAGCAGCCTCCTCTTTGCTTAGTTACACTGAGCAGAGCTACTGCAAGAAAAAGTCGTGAGATTAGAGCAATTGGACTGTTAGAAACCAATGCTTTAGGCACAGATGCCTCAGGAGCTTTGGTTTCCTAAGGACATGAGTGTGCTGCTGCAGTAACTGGCTTAGCTTCATATCTTATCGTTCTCATAATTTTAGGTGTGGGTGTTTGTCTTCTTTTAACCTTTTTCTCCTTTCCTTTCTATTTCCTCTCTCCTCTCCTTTCCTTTTTCTTTTCCATACTGAGTTTTTGTTCGCTTAGCGTTTATGTTCTTTTGCAACAAGCTAATGCTTCATACCGCTGCTGCTAATGACTGTGAATTCCTTATGTATTTTGTCGTAATGCGGATATTTAGACTGTGGTACCTATAGCATAACTTTGCTAGGTACCAGCTGTGCTCCTTCCATGGCAGTATTCTTGTAAACATCTTGCATGTGTTTTGCTGTGGTGAATTCATTGCATTTTGTCTTAACAGATGGAATTTGTATTTCTTTTTAAACAGCAAGTTGCGGATTTAATAGGAGCCGATTCAAGGGAAATTATCTTTACCAGTGGTGCAACAGAATCAAATAATATGGCGATCAAGGTACAAGGTTTATACTGATAGTTAGTTATTACGTTAAAATTATGCTCTTAAGAACTGTATGCATATTTTAACAGTTTAACTCTTAATATGTTGGCCTGGTTCAGCAAATATTTGCATTCCTGGATTTACTCTTTGCGTTCTGCCACATACATGGAGGGAATAGTGGGATGTCCTCATGCCCAGGACGTGGTTTTGAGGACAGAGTATAATTCTGAACATTTGTCATACCTGCACCAAATACGATCCCCCTGCTTATGTAACTGAAATATTTATCATGAAATGCACTGGAGATGCTGATTATGAACTTTTTTTCTGTTTAAGACTTGGTAGTGTTTTAACCTTTAGTGTGTGGTTGTTCAGACTTCTCATTCTATGTGGTGTTGAGTCATAGGCTGGGCTTGATGATCTCAGAGGTCTTTTCCAGCCTCAACAATTCTGTGATTCTGTGTATGCAGACATGTTAAAAAAAGTGTTTCTGTTCTAATGTCTAAAACAACAAGACAACTGGTAAGTGTAGAACTTACATCAGTTAGCATTTTCACAGGCTTTTGGAAAAATGAGTGCTGGTGAAAATCTGTTGTGTGAATGATATGTCAGTACCTTTTAGAGTCACGACTTGTAGACAAAATGTGAAGGTCCAAGTGAATTACATATAAATAGCAAATTATTGTTTCTAATAATTTTACTTTCTTCAGTGGTCTAATGGCAAATCTCTTGTTTGTGGATCGTGCCTGGCAGGGTGTTGCAAGGTTCTATAAATCCAGAAAAAAGCATGTCATTACGACGCAAACAGAGCACAAGTGTGTGTTGGATTCTTGCCGTTCCCTGGAAGCAGAAGGTTTTCGGGTCACTTATCTACCTGTTAAAAAAAATGGGCTCGTAGATTTGAAGGTGAGTTTTTCACTGAAAGAAGGAATGTGAAAATTGTCAGATTTTTGTTTCCAGTGGATGCTCAAGAGGACCTTGTGTCCTCTTGCTGATGGAGAGGAAAAGATGATAAATACCACAAGGTAGAATGAGAGTTGCAATCGAATCTCTGCCACAGGTGGAGAAGAATTTTCTGTTCTGTCTGTTGCTCTGGAGTTTGTCTTGACCCCAGAACATTTGTTGTCACTCCTACCCATGCAGGGAGCCCCATCCGTGCCTGGGACAGAGCTGGCTTTGGTACAGGAGCTGGTGGTGATGTTTCATGACCTGAGCTACCCAGAGCAGCAGGCGCAGCATCCCCCTGAACTGACCCTTCTGGGTGTGCCGGCTGCAGTCCTGGCGTTTAGAAGCTGCCTGTGCTTTTATTTCCTCGTTTGCCTCCTCTGATCCAGCACAGCATCAGTTTTATTTCTAGCCCTGTCACCTGGCCTGGAGAGGTGGGGTGTGTGTGTTGGGGTAGCGGGATCAGGCCTGTGGGTGCGGAAGCATCTGTCACATTCTCAGAGACCTTTGCTCCCAGGCCCCTCCTTTATATGACACTTCCCTGTATACTCTGCCGTTCCTCTAGAGCCAGCCTCACTTTGCCCAGCGGTGCCTTAAGTTGTTTTGCCGGTGGTTAATTTGTTAAAGAAGATCCTTCAGAGGCATGTATGAGACCTAGCAAAGGCCTGTTCTGACTTGTGTGAATCGGGCGAGGTGGCGCAGTGTGTACCGGGCTTAGGATATCCAGAAGGGCCATTGATCCCGCCCCACTTGCTGCCGGAATTCCACGTTGACGAGGATTAGGGCTCTCTCCAGGACTCTCTGTTGAAACCCAAGCGATTTGTTGGCACTGTGCTAGTTAGGGGGCTGGTGGGTAAGATTTGCTGGCAAATTGAAGGTTTCACAGGAGTCTTGTGCCAGCTGTTAGTCACAATTTCTGTCTGAATGTTTCACCAGGAGTTGGAGGCTGCGTTCCAGCCAGATACAAGTTTGGTTTCTGTGATGACTGTAAATAATGAAATAGGAGTGAAGCAGCCAATCCATGACATTGGTAAGTACACCTGGGCTTCCAGAGGCCACCTCGTGTCACTTCTGCTTCATTCAACTTAATGTTTTCACAGCCAAGTGCTACTGATGCCCAAGGTAAGGTGTGGTGGTGTAGTTGGGGAATGAATAATAATGCTGTCCCAAGTAAATGAGAGAAATGAGAACAAAATGAAGTACTTTTACAGCGAGTGGTGCAGCAATTATAGCCTTGTACTACAGATCAGCTGCAGTGTTTCTAGTTTCATTCGGTACTGTACAATGGGTGAAAAAGCTGCACACAATAACTGGGCAAATTGTGTTCATGTACCGTAATGGTTTATTAAGCGCCTGTAGTGTTAAAGAGGAGAAATGTGCAGAATTTGGGGCGGCAGGGGATGGTGAGCACCACATTTAGACTTCCCTTCTCATTACTGCTGTAATACAGTCAAGGACAATTGGTTTGGAGGTCAAAAGGCTGCTGAAAAGCTGGGAGGCAGGGAGAGGCTGAGCCCGGCTCGGAGCAGGCAGGTGGGGGACAGGGACCTCGAAGCAGTGTGGCAGAGCAGGCCAAGGGCAGTCAGGGTCACTGGGGGCTTTGGCCTCTACCTTGGAGTTGACACCGCGTGACTCCAGAGGGTGTTGTTTTCCCAGGCCGTGGCAGGTATCTTGTCCTGTTGTGCAGCTGATTTTCCCTTTGCTTGACTGCTCTATCTTTTTTCCTTTGTTATGCTCCAAGCAGCATTTTCCCCGAGGCTCTTCATGGTTGTATTTCTTCCTTGACAAGTAATGACCATGAGCGAGTTGCTTATAGGCTTGAGGACTCTGTTTTCTTTCTGTGCTTATGCTGTCGGGCCCGTTACTGTTGTTCTGTGCTCAAATGCCAGAGATACCTGGTCCCAGGCTGTGGTGAGTTCCCGTAACGCCCTGATAAGGAGTTTAATCGGCCGGGACGGGTGCCCTGTGGCCCCGTGAGCGGGGGGCCTGTGCCCCGGCGTCAGCAGCAGCGATACTGTTCTTGCTGGCCCACAGGAGGACAACTTCTCCTGGGAGAAACAGCGCTAAGCTGGCGCAAAGGAGGGGTCAGGGATGCAGCCGTGCTGTAGGGATGGTGATCACAGGCGAGTTCAGGTGGCAGTAACCAGCGTGCGCCAGGACTAGTGGCAATTCTGAGGACACTTTTGAAGCTGAGTATTGCAGAATTTGGAAACTAAAGGAAATGGCATAAAGACACTTGGCAAGTATAAATTTGGAAGTAAGGCTGGCTTGTACTGGACTGGTTTTGAGAAGAAAAAGAATAAAATACAATAATAAAGTAATGCAATAATAAAATAATACAATAAAGTAATTTTGTCCAGCTGCGAGGTCATCCCTATGGGGAAACTTGGATGTCCTGTGCAGTCATTTGTGCTTAAACTTGGACAGTGTGGGTTTGGAAACAGTCTCACTTCATGACAACAGAAGACTTTTTAACTTCTCAGCAGAAGAAATCCACCATCGCCTTCCCTGCTGAGCTGCCTAAACCTCTGCCCGCCGAGGTGTCAGCTGGATTAGCTCCTGCGCGGCTTTAGGCACTTCACTGTGAAAGAAACATGACAGCACCCGTTTCTTTCTTTGCCACCTCAGAACCGATCCTTGCTCTAAATTGATGCTTTAGCTTCATTGTTGGGATCACTGAAATCCAGCGATTAGATGAGACAATTTGGGGTTTTTCTTGTTTTTTTGTGTTTTTATTGCAGGTGAGATGTGCCGGGCACATAAAGTTTTCTTCCACACGGATGCTGCGCAAGCAGTTGGTAAAATTCCCATGGATGTCAACGACATGAAAATTGATCTGATGAGCATCAGTGGCCATAAAATTTATGGGCCCAAAGGTACTTACTGAAGTACTTTCCTAGAGAATGGTTGTTTCTGTGCCTACCTTAGGGTAACTACACAAGGTATGAAGTCAAACCTGTCTGTCATAGCGACCTAAACTGTAGAAAACTGTTCCAAGACTGGTCCTGCACTGGCTGTGGAGTAGTTGAGGCTTGTTGCCAGACTTGCTGCTGCTGTAAGCGGATCTTTGGTGCTGATGGGTTGTGAGGTGGCGTCACCGAAGGGACAAGCAGTATCTTGTGATGGTGGCAGCGTTAGGAGTAGAGTCATCTGCTCGGTGTGAAGCAGGGTTGATGCTGAAGTGGCTCAAATGAAGTCACTGGGTTACAGACCAAAGCTTAGACCCAAGTGTGGTGTACAATGAGGAAATCCGAAGGTAACTGGAAAGTTTCAAATTCCAGTGATTTTTGGTCATTTTACTTCCAGCGGCAGCTTCCCCCCACCCCCACTATTTGTGCGTCTTCTTTGCAGAATGGAGTTTAAAATCTGGCTATGGATTTACTAATCGATTCCCAAGTAGTAAAAGTTCCGCTGTTGTCACCGTCACAGTCCATTTACCTTGTAACACTGGGTGCAGAAAGATAGAACTCAGGCTTGCTGCGTTCTGTGTGCTATTCAGAAACAAAAGGCAAGAATATTATTATTTTTTCAATATGTTGTCTTTCTGTATGAGCTCTCCCTAAGACTTATGTCTGGGTGAGGACTAAGGTTTTGACCAATAGCTTTGGGCAGGTGGCAGATATGAATTTTCACAAATTATTATAACCAGAAGTCGTAACCATTCTTCCTGTGGTGATGGTCACTCCTTCGGTGTGCCAAGGCACATGAAGATGAGGAAATCCAGTTTCTAGGTGAGGACACCAGGAGGTGAAATTGGCTGCCTGTCAAAAGCGGCTCAGCTCATCTGCCTGTTGGAGGTTGGTGCCAATGATGAGTCTCACTAAGGAGGAGAAAGGGAGGAGACTCCTGGTGCTGACCTGGTAATCCAGGGAAAGGAGTTCTAGAGCTTTCAGGTGGAAGCTTGTAAGGGAACGTCAAGGTTGGAAATGTCTGCACATGAAAACTTGAGTGCAAAGGGATCGACTCCCAGCTGGGCCCAGGAAGTGTGAGAGGTAAGGGCAGTACTGAGCCCTCAGGTGACTGAAGCAGTCGAGGAGAAACCAGACTTCTCTGTGGCTGCAGCCTGGGGAGCCTGAATGAGGAGCAACGTGAACTGTGGGAACAAACACTGTTTCCTAGAAAATAGTGCACTTCTGTGTGCGTGCGTTGTGTTTTTCTCAGTGAGGAGTCCAAATGTGTGTTTGCTGTGGAAATAAAGAACCAAAGGTTTCCAAAGAACCCAGGGTTTCAAAACCTTGGGAGTCTTTTTTCATAATTTCACAACTGTGAGCATATACTAAACCAACTCTCCTTGTTTCCAAGGGGTCGGCGCTATCTATGTTCGCCGTCGACCGCGCGTCCGGCTAGAACCCCTGCAAAGTGGGGGAGGCCAGGAGAGGGGACTGCGCTCTGGGACGGTGCCCACTCCCTTAGCAGTGGGCCTGGGGGCAGCGTGTGAAGTGGCACGGCAAGAGATGGAGGTATGTGGGAAAAGGTATTTGTCCTGGATTCCAGAAAATGATACGACAGGCCCAGCTAGGCTTTAGATTCCGTAGGTCTTTTTGTGTCCAGGTGCCTGAATTACATTTGATTCTCCTAACATCAAGTGTTTTGAGTTCTTCAGGAGTGGTTTGGGGTACTTGGAAGTTGATTTTCAGCTTTTAAGTTCCTGTTTTTCCTGGAAGTGCTTTGAATCATGATTTTCTGCAACAGGCTGATGGCCGATAGTTTTAGTGAAATCCAGCTTTAAGCGATTGTACTCGTCTCTGCATTCTGCACAAATGTATTATCAGCATCTCTGAAACGGAATAAATCATACTTGAGTAATATATATCTTGAAAAAAAACCACTATCCTAGTTCATTATCATACATAATAAATACATGTGTAAGTTAGAGTTTACTGCAGCCCTGCAACTAACAACTTTTTTTTTTTCCTAGCTTGGATGGTAAATTTTATTTGCTCTGTCTGGTGTCTAAGTCCCTGTGTGCCGCTCTCTCCCTTGGTGGGCCCGAGCACATTCCTTACAGCTGGAACGTACAAATCCTTTTAACCTAGTGCCAGCGGGATGCTTAAGCCAGAGGTCTGCAGGTGCAGGATCAAGCTTCTTCCTGGGCAGCGTGTGCTGGCTGAGCGGGGTGGTTGTGGCAGCCTTGTTGGAGGCTGCAGAGCCCGGCGTGTGCCTGAGCCCCTCGGCTGGGTGCTCTCCCTTGCCCGGCAGAGTTTCAGTGTTTCTAAACCAACTAATATTTGAGGTAGCCTTGTTTTCTTCTGAAGCTTTTTCGTGCGTGTAAAGAAGCAGGAATTCTGTGCGTGCACCTGGCTGTTCTGTGCACCGGAGCTGCTGCCACACCTCCCTGCTTCTTTAGCGTGAGTGACCTCGATTTTTAGTCTGGAATGAGAGACTGGACATGGGCCATTCTCGTAGGTTACCTGTTGTAAAAGTTGAGCTCACCGTCCACATCTTGGTGTAGTACGGTTTGGGAGCTCCTGAGGAAATAAGGAGTACATACCACGATGGATTCTCTTCCCTGTGTGGCAAAATGTGTCATGTTAGGCATTACCTAACCTGTCTTTAAACACAAAGAACGCAGTGCTTTTACGAAAGCCAGCTCAGCAGCTTTCATTTATAGATCTCTCTCAATGGTTTGGAATATTTTTGAAGGCTGAGCTAGCCAGGATCAAACTGGTAATTCTCTTTTAAAAGAGTCTCTAGAGTAGGTAAGGTTTGACAGTTTGAAGTTTCAGATATGTCCTTTCCTTGGTCTAACCAAACCCACCTACTTTAGCCTGCTCATCACTGGTGACACAGAGCACTTCGTGTTTATTATTTTGGTCTCTTTTCTGGTTTCTTCACTAGTATGACCACAAGCGAATCTCACAGCTGGCGGAACGGCTGGTTACAAAAATAATGAGCGAAGTCCCTGATGTGGTTATGAACGGAGACAGAGATCAGCGCTATCCAGGTAATGTCAGCAAAATCCTGAGCCTGTTAGAAACCTGTCTCGCTCCTCAGTGCTAATGGCTGTGACTGAATAACGCACTTGAGCTACACGTCGTGCAAGCACTGCCGTGTGGGGTAGGATTTGCCCTAGATTTCATTTGATGGAAATTTTGTTTTGTTTTCCATTTCATTTATTTCTGTGTAGGATGCATCAATTTATCTTTCGCATACGTGGAAGGGGAGAGTCTTCTGATGGCTCTGAAAGACGTGGCTCTGTCTTCAGGAAGGTAGGTGGTACACGTAGAAGGGATAGACATGTATTTTGGAGAGAAAAACAACGTCTGCTAATGGAGGTGCAAATTAAGGAGTGGTCTCCTCTGTGCCCTGTATTTGCATGTTCGGTTAATAAGTCACCCTGGCATTGATTCTGTTCTAAGAAGGTGTTCTGCTGATTACAGCTGAAATCAAATTTATCAAATTAAAACAAGCACACAATGCCACAAAAAGATTCCCAAACAAAACCAGAAAAAACAACCTAGAAATTCCTACTTGCCAGCTTTGCCGAGTGGTTACCTGCGATCTGCGTAGCCTTGACTTGACGTGTAGCTGCTGGTGAGACTTTCGTTCCAAAGGCCACCGGCATTGGAACAGCTTCTGTCCTTGGGCAGGATTTCACACAAGTGGCAGATCAGAACTAGAATGTAGCGGGGCTGAACAAATATCTGAGTTAAATTAGCTCACGGTGCCTGTGTTTAGTGCAAAACCAGAAAGAAAATTGAATATACTTGTATGGAGCTCTGTTGGCTCTACAGGAGGGATGAGTAACATTTCTGTTAGTAAGACAAACTCAACGCTTGTGGTGAAGTTAATGGGAGGTAAAGGTGCCCTCCCTTCCTCACCCTTGAGAACAAAGCAGTCAGCGTGTTGTGATTAGAAGCACGTTGGCACTAAGAATGGGAAGAACAAGTCTCCGCTTGACTGTCTCCGAAGCTGAACACTTCTGCAGTTGGAAAATCGCTTCTGAGGTGCCGCTTTGTGCACTAGAGCTCTGGGAGCAGCTCTGCTTTGTGCTGCCTGTTGCTGCCTGTGGAAATTGAGCAACAACATGCAGCCGTTTTTGCCAAGTGCTTTGGGATGGAAGTTCTCTCTGCTGGTGACTGTAACTGGATCATCTTGCTCTGGATTTCTCTGTGCACTGCTTCTCATTTATTTGTTCTCCTGCCAAAGAGCAGCTTGTGAAGTCTTTTTCCTTTTCTAATGTCCCTGTCGGTACGTTACCTTCTCTGGCTACTTATGTCCTGGCTCCTTTGTCCTTTTTTTCGTGGCCTTCACGCCAACTACCTCTTCGTCTGCAGCCCCCCTGCTTCTGTTTGGCACTGTGCTTATTCTTACTGCGTTACCTGTTCTCTCTTACCTCATGCTCCTGGTTTATTACGTGCGTTTCCCTCCAATGCCTGCCCTTTTCTTCAGTAGCAGAAATACTGCTCTTCTTGCTTGCATTCACTGGTGGCTTCTGAGAGGTCAGGGAAGCTGTTCGAGGTTGTTGTAAGGAGTCGGGGTGATATTAAATGGCTGTAAGTGACTTACTCTTTTTTGGAGGAGATTAGCGGAGTGTTACTTCAGTGTAGCATCTGCACATGGATAAAAGTTTGAAATCTGCCTGCCTTCCCTTTGCCAGTGCTTGCACATCAGCTTCTCTGGAGCCCTCCTACGTTTTGCGGGCAATTGGAGCAGATGAAGACTTGGCTCACTCATCTATAAGGTGCGTGAAGTGGTCTTCCCTAATGCTTCCAAGTATTTTCCTGTCTGCTAAAAGCAGGTGCTGGTTTTGTTCCAGCCCTCCATATACATGTTATTCTGTTCCTTAGTGGTTTTCTTTTGGTTCAGATTTGGCATTGGGCGTTTCACTACGGAAGAAGAAGTGGATTATACCGTGCAAAAGTGCATACAGCACGTTAAGAGGCTGAGGGAAATGAGGTGAGCCATCTTCTTGTTCAACGTAAAGACTTCTTGGGTAGGACAATCATTTGAAGAGTTGAATTCAGTTGAGAGTAAATGGTTTTGCTCCAAAACTATGGTGGTGTGTCTGTACATAAGCAAGCAGTGTTGCCACAGTGGGTAGTGAGCCTGATCTTAACAGCAGTGATGCATTTTTAAGGGAACAAACCTGGTAACAGCACTTCTCACAGGCCCTGCCTTTGTCAGGGAGAGAATGACAAGCGGGGTGAGCAGTACCTAGGAGTTACTAAGGCAGAGATGGTGTAACTGAGTTTCTGTATGGGTACGTTGTTTTATTTGGTGAAACCGAAAGACTCCTGCCTCGTTTGGACAGTGTCAACTGTGAGGGCTCAGTCCCTGCCAGACAGGGGTACTTTACGCCCAAAGTGGGAGCAGGGAGTGAGGTGGAGCGCCTGCCCTCCCACCTCTTGTGTCTCGGGCTGAGGACTCGCTGTCTGAAGCTCGCTGACCCCCAGAAGGGGAAGATAGGTAGGCATCTCCTCATTGCACGTGTGGTTGGTGGAATTGTCCATTCGGTTGTTGCTGATGTTGTCCCGTGCTTTTTAGATAGCCCTCACTTCTCGGCTTTCCTTACAGCCCCCTCTGGGAAATGGTGCAGGATGGAGTTGACCTCAAAAGCATTAAATGGACTCAGCATTGAGAAAACGTCGCTCCCTGTGGACTACGTGTGGCTGTGGATTAAAATGCATTTTCAGTACATTCCTGAACAAATTATGCGGCACTTCTGGTTTTGACGCTTGCAGTTCAGCTGGGAAACTGCCCTTTCTAATCACAAAGTCTTAAGAAGTCAAAAATGAAACTAGTCTGTACCCTGGAGCAAGGCAAGGTGGGGTAACACCTGTTACATTTGTATTGACATGCAGAGATCTCTGCTAAAATGTAACTTATCTGGAAACGTGTTTTCTAATAAGAAAATGGAATGGGTGTGTTACTCCTGGGCTGGTGGAATCCTGGCAGGAGGTTGTTGCTTCTTTGTGTAAAACATCCTGTGGAGCTGTTTTGTTTGCAGCACAGGCCTATTTCCAGGCCTCACATTCTTTCTGTTTGAGCATCCTGCAACAGCTGCTGATTTTGTGCCCTAAGATGGGTTGTGCTGCGAGAAATTCTCAGTGAGGAAGAAGCTTGGCATTTCTGGGGGAAAAGAATGCCTCGGTGTGGCCACGTGCCTTCACAGTTTTGTTGCATGTGCAGTTAAAAACTATTTGTTTTCACAAATGGAGTATTTTTGGCTCCTTTTTCCTTGGTTTTATTTTTTCTGGAGGTGATGCTTGTACACACTGATGTGCGTTGATCTGAAACATCCGTGTTGTAGAATTTATGGTACAGTGATGCACTTTGCTGTGTTTTCCATGCAATTTTATTTCGAAGTAAGGAAGGAAAGCTTGACTGACCTGGGGAGGGGGATAAGCAGACATGGGCAGCTCCAGGTGCACTTCCCAGAGGAGTTGGAACAGCAGCGGTGGAGGTGGTGGGGAGAGCAGAGCAAGTGCAATATCTTAGTGCAGTCGCGGCTTTTTGCTGTTTGGAGGTGTTTTCCTTCCCCTTGGGACGAGTCCTTTGTCCTTTGCCTGTGGACCCTTCAGGGAGTCCTGCCCAGCTGAGCCTGAGTGTTCTGTCTGGAGGTGAGAACTCCGGAGTTTCTCTGCGGGACAGACTGTGCTTCTCTCTGACCAGAGACGCGTGTGGCAATCTGTTCCCTGCACGGGCTGGGCGAACTGTCTCTTGAAAAGGGTTTGGTGAGATTAAATCCTATCAGCGTTTCTCCTTTCTTACCTCTGTTGATCTTTCCAGTAGGAAGCTTGACCACGTGTTACCAAGTGCCTTCATTTCAGTTGCATAAGCAGAGAGCTTTAAAAAATAGTTTTGTTGCCTGATGGATGATGTATTGGCTACTGAATTTAATCTACCCCGTAGGGAGTACGCCTGCAGTTCTGGGTGGTGTCTACCTCGAGAATGAACCACGTAATGTAAAAGCTGAAGCTAAATCTCACAAGGTGGATTGTATTGCAGAAGCGTGTGGATTTTTTTTGTTACCAAGGACAGATTTGCTCGTTTCTAATGTAAAACTCATCCTCAGTTGTTCTATTTGAAATTATCAGCTGTAGCAGTTTTAATATTGTAGGGCTGGCACCTTATAGTTCATCACAACATGTTTAAAGCTACCATATGCATAAACAGGTTTTAGAGGTGTTGTAGGTACTACATTCTATGCTTGGGTCATGTATGTTTTCTGGATTACGCATGTGATAACTCTTATTTTACAACTACATGTTTATGAAATTGTTCTTTGTGTTTCATGGATGATAAAAAGTGATAAGATTCTCAAGTCTTTTCAGATCCACCTTTTTGGCTCAGCTATGCAGCATAATCGGCAAGTTGCTGAACTGCAGCTTTCATTAGAGAACAGGAAAATAAACTCCTACGTTTTGTGTGAACACTGTTAGAAGCTCTTTCTGTCATCAAGTTGACATCTGACTTTTGATGAGTTATTCTTCTCAAATTCAATGCCAAGTGTGAGCTATTAAAAAACCCAACAAACTCCAATAGCTTAAATTGTGATTATTTTGAGAAAAAGGAGGCCCAAATACTGAAGATTCTGACCGCCTCTTACGTGCTAAGATTTCAAATACACATTCTACATGTAAAGGTTTGGGAAACTTGTTCACACTGTTGACAAATGTTTGGTTGAAAATGCCTATAGAACAAAATGAAGAAAAAAATTTACAGCGGGGATGTTTTTCCCTGTAGTGGAAAGTAGTAATGCCGAGGAGGGATGCCTGGTTGTACACCGCTGAATGCCGTTCACGTGTTTTGTGTGGGGAGGCAAACTTCTTTGGGAGGAGAATATTTACAAACGGAATTGCCTGCAACTCAGAAGGGAGGGAGCTGTGGGGTTTTGTGGGGGGATTTTTGGTGATTCCTTGGAGCCATCTGCAGGGCATTAAATTAATAATATAAGGTGAGGATACCAGGGAGGTGAAGGATTTAGTGTCACCATTTTGCAAGTGTCATAAAAATTGACCTAGTCTGACAAATAGGAATAAAATGAACTTCCCAGTAGTGCGAGGCAGTTGGGTGACACACAAGGTGAACAAAAAATTCTACTTGATTTTAGTGTTTCTAAACACTGACGGACCATATTGTCTAACTACAAAAGTTATTTAATGTTTATACGGGAAGGATAATACAGAATTGGACAGGTCTTCTGGGCTTGAGGAGACAGGGAGGAAGAGGGTCAGTTAACCAATTTGTTGACTGTTACACAGCCAGCCATGAACTTACTGGAGACTTTTTAAAACACAGCTTTGTATCTTGAAATCTGTATATGGCTGATTGATCAGAATCACAGAGTGTTGGGGGTTGGAAGGG